CCCCAGCTCCCACTGCTTTAAAAAAGAGCCCAGACTTGCTGGGTACTGCCAGGCAGGAGGGCGATCCCCACTGCCCCGTGCTGCATGGAGAGCCCTGCATGAGTGATTTGGCCAGATCAAATCAGTACAGTGATTTGAATCACCGAATTGAATCACTGTCCCCCGAACTGGCTGAATCCGAAGCAAATACTAGCCGCTTTGCTCAGGCCTAGTAGTTTCCTCCTGTTTCCTTTAGACAGTTAAGACATTTACACTTACTTGCTATTTTTTTAAATGAGCCTCATTGGTTTTGACAACAACTAGTCTATGTGGTATGGTGTACAGGGACAGCATGGCTGAAGTGGCAAAAACACCCCAACCCTAACTTGGCATGGAAAGGGCAGACCACGTGGAAGCTGCGGGGGCCTGATCCTCATTGCTGGCAGCGCCTGCACGTGTGCCTTGAAGCAGATAGCAGGGGAGGGATTGCCCTGCACCTTGAAGCTTGCATGTAGTCACCATCAGCACGGAGCTGGTTCAGAGGCTCCAGAGCCCAGTGCAGCTGTTTGCAGCCCCCCAGCCACCAGCTGCAGCTGCCCAGGAGTCTGCAAACAGCTGTGCTGGGCTCTGGAGCACCAGCACTGGCTCAGTGGTGGTGGTGGGTGCATGCATGGCTCTGGGTGGACAAAAGGGGAAGTGACTGGGGCAGTGCAACTTCATCCCCTCCACTGCCATCCACCCAGAGGCACGCATGCAGCCATGTCACCAGAGAACCCGGCTAAGGGCTCTGGAGCCTAGTGCAGCTGTTTGCAGCCTCCTGGCTGCCTGCCACAGCTGGCCAGGGCTCTGAGAAGGTGTAGTAGATGGTCCGCAGGCTGCAAACAGCTGCACCGGGCTCTGGAGCACCGGCTCTGTGGTGATGACAGCTGCACACATGCTTCTGGGAGGATGGCAGGGGAGGGGCCAGGGTTGCGCTGCCCCAGGCCCCTCTCATGCTATCTACCCAGAGGCATGTGTGCAGCTGCCACCACTACAGATCCAGTGCCAGTGACTCAGAGCCCAGTGCAGCTGCTTACAGCCTCCCAGCTGCAGCTGGCCCAGAGCACAGGCCAGCTGTGGCGTGCTGAGCAAAACTCTTTTCTTAATGTTATAGACCTGTTGATTTTGGTAGGACTACTCATGCAAGGTATTCTCATGTATTGGCAGGATCAAGCCCTAATCTCATATTTGTTTCACTTATCTCCTGTCTGTGTCAGCAGTTTCTTTGTCTGCGTATCTGTCTATATCAGTTCTCCCCTGTGTGACTAGGACATGAAAGCAGTGCTGGCTAATTCCTATGAATAATTAAGAGATATGAAATAGTAGAGCAGTAAAGGCATTTATTAGAGGTTGGAGAACAAAGCTTCTCTGTAAATACTTATTCCTCAGACTGTCCCTATATAACAGCAATTTGAAATAGCAATGCTATTTAATTATCTTTTGCCAAGTGAATTTCTGGATTTGTAATCCATCTTTTATCTCAAGTGACAAAATTATAATTTGTCATTAAGATCTGCATACTTTCACATACGAGCAAATTTGATCTTTCATGAACTTGCAAAATCTTTCTTCTTTCACTGAAGGTAATAATTATCAAGAAAAATATTTTTGATGATTTGTAATGAGCTATGGTTAAGATGCCATAAGAGTGGAAAATTACACAGTGGGTTTGCTACTTCAGTAATAGTCATTGGATGTGAAAGTGTGTCTTGGACAAAGAAAACAGACTGAGTAGGAGTTTTGCAGGCAAATTCATAATAGCATGGATCAAATTTTGCCTTTTTTTGCTATAGGGCTTATATTTTGTTTCTCATGCTTGTTAGAAAAGCATCACTAATAAAGCCTCAGGGCAGGAATAACACTTAAAAATGTGTAGTTAATATTTCATTCACATATGCAAAAACTGTATTTCCCCCCATATACTAGGAACATTTTTCTTTCTGTTGCAGAGCTGGATTATGGCAACTCATATGAAATAGAATATATGGAGAAAATAGGCTCCTCTGTGCCTGTAAGTTTTCACTTGCAAATTTCCACTTCCATTTATTTCCAAGCTGTAGTCATTATGAACTGCTGTGGTAATGCCATGTGGACAATTCCCAGCTACACACTGAATTAACTGTACATCTGCCTGAAGCAGATTGTACGTACAGTTCCTTTTAGTCAGGTAAATTGTATGCACTTTGTTTGCCCCTGTGCTTGTAGAGGCTGTTTAATCTGAGATAAATTTTCAGTTGCCCTTTTTGCAAATTAAAAACAGATAAAAATTCCCAGAGCAATCTCTATTGGGTTACTAAACAGTGCATGGAAATCCACAAACCATGACTAAATGTTTTTGTGGAAGGAAATGGGAAATAAGTGCTTTTCTTCAAAGCTCAGACTTGGTGTAAAATGTGGAAATACAGGATTTTAAAATATCAGATTGTTTTGTCTTATATTTATTTGATTAATTAGATAGACATTTAGGATCTTATTAATTTCTAAGTTCTCTATAGGGCTCATAAGAGTGAAGCATTCCATCAATGGGAAACCCTTGGGTATTTGATCTGATGAAGGAAAGTCGGTTCCAATTAATTTTTTGATGACGCTTTCAGTCAGTGAGTGCCATGTGATCTATCCCAAAAGAACAGGTTACAGAATTTAGACAGTACCTCAATTCTAATTAATCCCAAATGGCAGTGAAAAACAATTTTAAAAGTGAATTGTGTGTTCACTGGTGATTATTTATTTTTTTTATAAAATAGGCAGTTCTTTTAATGACATATTATACATTGTGTTTTAGCACCAAATAGTAAATACTAATCTGAAGACCCTAGATTGGGAGCTTCAGATGGAAATGCTGTTTGTCAGTCATTAGAGTCAGTGAACTGGTATAATATGGGAAGTTGTTTAATATGTCCTTTCTTGTCTTTTGAAGGATGATAGTACCCAGAAGAAACAGTCTTTGTATCTTATGTTTGACGCTCAGCAGGAGAGTCCAGTTAAATCCCCTCCAGTCAGACTTTCTGATTCGACAACTCCATGTTCAGGGTATGTCACTTAAGTAAAGTATAGTTCATTATAAAAGAGTGTTGGGGTAAGGATTACAGTTAAATAATTTCTGCTTTGGGCAGTGCTTTCTGTACAGGTTTCCCTTGATGTATGCAGGTTCTTTATATGCAAATTCTCTCTTATGCAATGAGCATATTTAGACCTATAATTCGTTATATGCAAGGTAAATTCACTCTCGTGCAATCGGCTTAGATGCCTCCTCCTGCCTAAGCAAGTAAGTCTTGGGGGTGAGGAAAGGACCATGGTCCCACTCACCCCAGCCTTGGCTGCAGAAGAGACCCCGGGAGCAGTTGACACCAGCTGCCTGCACCAGGAGCAGGGTGAGTGGGGACAGGCGGAGCATGGTGCAGCCCAGTGGCTGCAGGCAGCTGGCACTGGCCATTCCCAGGACCGCTGCAGCCCGGGCTGGGGTGAGTGTCGCTCTGTTCCCTCTGGTTTACTGCCTTGTGCAGCCCTAGCAGCGGCACCCCTTCTTCCACCTCTTCCCTAGTCCCAGCCTCACTACCTCCCTCCTTCCTTCCCTTCCTCCCTCCCTCCCTCACTGCCATGGGAACCTATCCCTATTTGTTGCATTGTAAAGTGCATTCTCCTTATGCAAATTTGATTTATGCGCTGTCCTCCGGGATCACATGTACAGCATAAATCGAGGGAAACCTGTATTTTATTTTTGCCTACTTTATTTTGAAACAGCCCGTGTCAGCGAGAGGTCTGGAGGATAAGGAAAACTAGTCAGTAGCACAGTGAGTGGAGAATCAAACCTTGTATCTCCATGGCACAGCTTTGCTGATTACTTCTAAATCTGTACTCAGGCTAAGTGCTCTTGTCAATGTATATTGTGATTCAATGCTTATAGCTTTTTCTTAAAGTTTAAAGTTAGTTTCATTGCAGTTTATGTAAAACCTCCAGACTGTAACTCTTGTTTTGACACTTCTAAACTACCACCGTTTTCTGGCCAGTTCATCCATTTTCTAATGATGATAAGAGTTATGGGTTGTGTTGACCTTTACAAATGTCATTGGCTCTGGTTAAAACCGTTATTTGGTAAATAAATAAATGAATACATGTAGAAATGATAAACAAGGGACAAGTCCTAAATATTTAGTGAGTAGATGTGATATGTTTTATTGGACCAACTGAGTAGATGGAAAAATATTTCTTGGCAAGCTTTTGGATGCAATCACCCTTCTTCAGGCATGGGGAGTCTCTGCTGTTCTGAGACTCCAGCAAATGAAAGAAGCTGAACGTGTGGCAGGATGTCAGTGAAAATGAAATCTCAGAACAGCAAAGACTCCCTATGCCTGAAGAAGAGTGACTGCGTCTGAAAGCTTGCCAAGAAATTTTTTCCAACTGCTCAGTTGGTCTAATAAAAGATAATCACATTGACTCAAAGAACCTTGCCTGCCGATGTCCTTAGACCAACACGGCTACAACCAAAACCCCAGCAAATATTTAGTGATGCATCAGATATTCATGTCTCTTCCACCAGAACTGATTTTATCCAGATTATTTTGGTGTACTACTTTGAGAAACGTATTTCAAAGTTGCCAACCAGAAATTCAAATCAGTGGGCTTTGAGAAGTATATTTCAAAATCTTGCAAGATAGAACTGGTACAAGATTGAATTATTGTAGTAGTATCATGTTACACTAGCTTTTATGAGTCTGAGAGTGTGGCTGTTTAACTAAAAAGGATTTGCTACATTTGTAGCAGCGTTTGATTGATCTGCATAGGGCTCCTAATTCAGTCTGAAAATATATATGCTATCTCAGAGGGTTTCAAACTGTGGTCTGTGGACCGCCACTGGTCCATGAGCTCCATTCAGGTGGTCCACAGAAAGGCTGAGGAACAATTGAGAATATCTGTACTTGTAAGGTAAAACTACTGATACTAAAATATGAGTTGTGCACTTTGATTTGCAGAACAAAAAGAAGTTTAAGCGGTCTGCTGAGACCGTCAGAAATTTTCAAGTGGG